TCTATTTTTTTATCGTACCTGTGCGCAATATACGTGTTATAACACAAAAATTGCTTGCTTATAACGTACTTGTCGATGAATAGCAATATACATTTAATATTTACCTCTCTAATAAAGTCTTTTTTTTGTTTTGAGAGGGTAAAACGTAATAGTCCTTAGACTAATAAACTTGTGGCCCTCTATATATTCACTCACACTCACTACCTCAACATACACACGACACTCCTCATACATACTACACGACACTCCTCACAGCTAGTTTTTGACTGCGAGGAAAACCAGCGGACCTGGAGAAAAACCCTCGGAGCAAGGAAGAGAACCAGCCACAAACTCAAATCACATATAGTCCCGGACCGGGAATCGAACCAGGACCACAGCGGTGATAGACCGGCGTTTTAACGGCTCGGCCATCCTTGCTCCCCATCTACAGAATTTCACCCAGTATACGGTACTTCCGGTTTCGACGTCTCGAATTCTTAACTTCCGGTGGTGCAAACGCGACATAACACATATATAAATTGGAAAAAAGGTAAAACGCAAGTCGATCTAGCCTACGACTATCCTGACTAATAAGTTTTTGAGTATTTGAAAACTTACAACATAGCTACAGTTGTCATAGCGATTTACAACATTTAATAGTCCTTTGTACATCAGTTATGCCACATTGTAAAGGCCGAATTAGATAGCACAACATCTGTTTACAACCATCTCATCTAACCTGAGTAAGTCATCCTTACAAGATGGCTACAAGTGTCGCAGGGATTTAAAACACTTGCTTTATATCCCCACGACAGTTGTATGTACATGCAATAGTTGATGGCTAAAGTTGTGCCGTCCAATTCAATTCCTTTAGAGGCCGACGTGCATCCCAGATAGTTCCTTTTCTTTTACAAATAATATCTTGTTGGAAAGCTAGKCGCCTTTCAAACACGATAAAATTMATGATCAMCATTTTACAGTCAGTAAATATCTAATACTGTCTACAATATTCATTGTCTAAAGGGGGAGAAGTGTGCACACGGCACCATCTCGAGGTGAAATTGTTCCTTCTTGTTTGATGGCACGTGTCTGCCCAGGACAAAGTCTGACGTCAAATGTTTTTAGAAATCGAGCCATCACGACTTTAGCTTCAAACTGAAACATAAAAAGAGATTTGACTGTAAGATTTTGTCGACGTTCACACTTTCTCCGTAAAACGAAATTTTTCGTGTCATTGGTTATGTTTTCATTGGACCTATKTACGAAAGCAATGCTGAGCATGTGCAGGGCCTGGTGCSAGGTGTTTCGGTGATCGTTCTTCCTTGCAAGACWAATATGAGACTTGGAAAATCAATATTAGTGCGGTTTAATATCGCAAAACAAAGCCAGAAATTTTAATAATTTTACATATGTAATTATATGATAAACAGAATATTACATGGTCGCTTGGAGATACGAATTTTATCTTCGCTACGCTCACTCGTGAGAGATCTTTTCAACGCCTCGAAGATAAAATCYGTATCTCCGCGCGCCCATGTAATATCCTCTATATAATTAATGAAGCTYCAATGTGTACATGAGAGGACTTCTGTACGYACATCAATRACCCTGTATTTGTACATCCATCTATCCGACAAGTCATACTCCTAAAAGTAGTAATAGTCTCCTGTGACACGATTTCTACAAACCTGTGCGAAAACTTGTCCAATACAGTTTCGTGGTCCAGTCGAGAATGGTAAATAAGCGAAGTGAGGGCTGAAATAAAAAAAATTGATAAAATTAAATAAAGCAAGCAATGATAAAGTTACGTAAAACAACTCATTTAAACAGCAGCGGTTGCTCGCTTTGAACGGGAAAAAGGCATATTGCAACAATCATAATTACGAAACAATTTGATTAATTTGATAAAATCCAAGTAAAATGCATAAAGATGATCAAGTTCCTTTAATCATTGATCTGTTGACGCCTTGCCTTTAGGAGCCAGGCTTTCGAAATTTCCTTTTAACATGTAGTGTATGGCTTCAAATCTCATCTTCTGCATCATCCAGTGTAGCGGCTATCAAACTGGCWCTCCCTAAGAGCGACAGTTATATGTTTCGCGCAAGACATTTTTCCAAATAAAGTAAACTTACATTTTCTCAGCGTTTTCGGGGCTCCATCGATCAGGGTTGAATTTCTCTGGATCCTCAAAATGCGCAGGTGAGCGATGTGAAGCAAAAATGCTGATCTACAACCATCAATCAATCAATTAATCAATCAACAAAAAGAGGTAAAATGTATAAAAGCATTCCAAGACACACAACTAGTTTTTCAAGTTAGTAAACAGAATTAAGGACGATCTACACAGTACTCGCTACAATGTTGTCACAGAGAAATTTAAACTTTAATGAAAAAGAAATTATATCTGTACACGACACAAGAAGATCACTCATGCCGAACGCTCATATTTCAAGTATATATAAAATATATCAGAACTTGAACTATGGGATATCATCGCCATTTTTTTTTTTTCAGTGCTAGCGCTAGGCAACTTAAAAATATATTGGCGATAATATCCCATAATTTCTGATATATTTTATCTATACTTGAAATATGAGTAAAAATCATCATAATTTCTGTATATTGCTGTAGTTCAACATATCCCAGCTATTAAGATGATCAATGTAGGATATGCACTGTTATTTTTTGAGAGTTGATTTAACTCYAAAAGTGGAGTTAAGAAGTTAAGAATTTTAATTTAAGAAAAATAGAACGCCGCGCGCGTCTCTGTCTGACATAAACACGCTGGGAGTTGAAAAACACGAGAGAAGCAAGCTTAAGAAATACGACGAGTGTAGCGAGTCCTTTGATGCAAGTTCGTCAGCCAACCAGAGCGCGCGTTATATATCAAAAACTTTATAAATAGCAGGTATAAGATTAATAGTTTTAATAGCACTTGCACTGTAATTGCCTTGCTTTTTTTACCCTGGTTCCAGAGGCTTGTCTTTTGCTTATTATTTTGTTGAGCCGCTAAGCGGCGAGACGATTCCTTTAATCGGCTTGTTTCTACGCCAAGCCTGGCATTAAGTGTAGGCAATCTCACTTTCATGCTGTATTGTAGTTGTACAACATGTCAAATAAACGAACCAATAAGAGGTCATCAYAGATAACAGATCATGTCACTTCGATCGTGATTGGTTCGTTAAAATACAGCATGAAAAGTAAGATTGTCTACGCTTGATACCAGAGGCTTGCTCGGCGTAAAAACAAACCGATCTGCGGAAACTTTGCGCAAAACGTTCGCGGCTCGATAATATGSTAAGCAAAGGAATAAAAGACAAGCATCTGGAACCAGGGTATTTTGTTATTTCACTGGTACGCCAAGTTCGCTTCTACCTCTGCTCAGCGGTTGCGTGCATGGGGATGCAACATTGTCACTTGTTCCTATTTGTGGCATCGCTTACATTAACCTTGACATTTTTGAAACGGCACAATTGTGTTTTGTTTCTTTCACTTTGTTTCTAGTCTTTTCGTTTCGTTTCTTTTGGTTTTGCTTTGTTTTCATGCGTTTATRCCTTGGCTTTACACGCAAACAACGAAAACAACAAAACCGTTGTTCCCGATATTCTGAAAACGCTCCTTAAAGTGGACATTTAAACGAACGCGTCTCAAAAACGACGGGTCGTTTTCGTGTAAATACACAGAGGAAGTGTGCGGCTGAAAAAATGTCCGGATACTTGTTTACACAGACTGTTACCTTACTTGAAGCGATCAAATTGTATTATTTACCATGAAACCTGTGTTTGCGGGGATCTGGAGACCACTAAGTAYAATTGGATCTTTGGTGTGCCTTGCAATGTTTGGYGCTGGTGGATAGAGTCTTAGMGTTTCCTTYAAGACCTAAACAAAAATCAAAACAATAAATATATGTTGTCATTTTTTAAATTATATGATATAATAATGCTTTCGTAGGCCTACGTTAGTTTTGACAGATTTGTGGTCTTTCGCTGAGACCTCAATAGACTATGGAATAACCCTCGCTGGATCGTTCTTTTACTTTGTCCTTTAATTACAGACTTTACTCATTTACTCATTTTAGCTTCAATACCGGTTTCTTAACAGAAACCCCTTCTAAATCGTTTATTCATTTAGCGCTTTATATGTACCTGCCCCATGTACTGTAGCTTGGCAAGGTCATCAAACTCTACGTAGTCACGTGACCCAAGCACTTYATTGATTTCATCTCGCAACCTAAAAAAAATTAATAACATTTTTACGACAACATTTTCAGACATTTTCATTTATAGCTGGTAGATTAAAACAAGAACATGCGTACAGGGACGACTTCTAAGGCCATGAAAAGCTGCTGACTAAATGCCCCAGAGCATTGGTGATTGACTGGTTAAAACGMTTGATTAAATTGACATCTTTTTTGAAAGTCACCGCTTCCACTTTCTGCCAAAAAACTAGTTGCAGGGATTTTTTTCATGTGCAAAGAAAAAGGCAAACTTTCAAGGCAAACTTACTTGTCCATGACGTCCTGTCGTTGAGATATTTCAACARTCATGAAAGAGAGAAGGTTTGCTGTTGTTTCTTGGCCTRTCATTGTAAAGACTATTGTTGAAACCCAATATTGAACTGGTAAACAAATGCACTRGTACARTGATGCTACAGTAGCTGCAATGACAAACAATAGCARCCCTCMATCTTACCAGCAATAAAGAATGTCACGAAATCATCAAGCAAATCTTCATCAGTAATTTGTATGGAGTCGAGATCTGAAAAAGGGGAAAAAAGGTCAAAAATATAGAAAAAAAAAATAATGTAAAACCGCTAAATATGTTCTACGTAAAGCACTTATCTATTTAAGAGATGACTGTAAGCAATATTGTGATCTGGTTTCTTTTATTTTCACGGGTTTGGGATCACAAGACAAACATACAAGATATTTTTTTGCAATCTATTTTCTTAAATGCTTAAAAAAAGATATGCGGGTCTGATATCTGGATACACCTGTATAATCGCATGGCCAAATCGCACTTCATTCGCGCTTCATTCGCGATACTTTGCAAACAAATCGCAATCTGCACTACTATAGCACCTATCTTGCATTTAATTGGCTGGCTTCCTACATGTAGCACCGAGATTCTTGTTTACTGTACCTAAAAGTTTCATCATGGTCGATAAAATGTCACTAGGCATCGTCTTGCCTTGTGCTATCGCTTCTCGTCTATTTTTGATACACTTCCTGCCGGTTTCTCTAAGAAGTGCGGCGGATTCGGCAAATTCACGCTGAAGAGCAAAAGTCCACGGATTGATCTGAAAAGCGAAAATAGAAATTAAGAACAA